CTTTTCTGCGGGGGACAACTCCACCTCTGTATTAAACTCTTCTACAGTCCCCAGCTTCCACTCTCTCAGGAAGGCGCCCCCACTCTCGAAAAACGAGTCTCGATATGCCTTCATGAAGAAGAACCCGTTAAACCAGCTGCGCCCCAACTTCGGGCACTTCTCCACAAAGTGATAAGGGCGCCCCTTCCTCTTTTGAAGCGACAAGCAGTTATCCAGAGGCGCCATCTTGAAGAAGTATCGAAAAAGGTTGAAGGTAGGCTCCACGTTATGTTCGCGGCAGCGCAGCTTGAAGAGGATGATCACCATGATCACCGAGGGAGACAGGCGCCCCAATGGGCAGCCACAGGTCGTCATAATTCCCTCCATTATGTGGTCAAGGGGGAACCGCAGCCCGAAGCGAAAGTATTCTTGATACACCCCTATCCACTTAGGCCCGCAGACGCCCACTCGTGAGATAGGGGAAGGAGGTGCATACCACCAATCACGGGGCAGTTGGAGGCTGGTCACCAGCTCATGAACACGAGCCAAGGTGACGGTAGAGGTGTGCTGTGGGCCCGCTACGTCGAAAGACAACGATTCCGTCTCCGTCGGGAGGTGATCGGGCGGAAACGAATTCTCCCACACAGATATCTTGTATGACCCATCGGCGGGCATGAAGCCCGGAGTGGAGGCGCTTGATGGACCCGCGGACGTCGACGCAAACGCCCTCTCTAAACCAATAAACGACCCAGGCGCAATACGGCCGCAGATTAAGTGACACCCTACCCTAGAGAGCTAGAATAAAAATAAGGAACGCAACTAGTAGAGCAAGGAAACTCCTTACCGCTTCGACTGGGGCGCCTTGCCTCGCCGCCAGCGTTCGAGGCGCCTGGTCTAGCCTCTTCACCCGCAGTGGAGGCGCCCTGGCCGACAACTTTGTTTCCTTGTGAAGTCATTCTCGGACGAATGGACGGAAAGGCTGACGAAAGCAGAAGAATCTAGAGAGATGTCAGAGAGAATCTAGAGAGAAGTCAGAGCAACAATCTTAGAGAGAGGTGAGAATGTGGAAAGTGACAAGGACTGATGGGGAGGGGGGTATTTAAAGGAAAGGAGGAGCAGGAGGATAGACGCGCGTAGCGTGCCACGTGTCATCATCAAGGGCGGGCTTTTGAGCTTCCCCCCCCCCCCCCACCTTTTCCTTTTTGTTGGAATTTTGGCCTAAAAAAAAAAAATATTGCCAAAATTCAAACAAGGAAAACGTGGGGGCCAATATCAAACGCCCACCCATGAGGGGGGCATAAGGGATTGAGGCGCCTTAAATCTGGCGCCCGAAAAGAAGCCGAATGAGGGCGCGCAGGGATTAGGGCGCCTTATAAAAAATGGGAAAGAGAAAGAAGGCCGAGGCGCTCAGGAAACCGGGCGCCTAAGGAGGGACAAGGCAACCACCGAGTCAGCTAGGCGCTCAGCAGCAGAGCAATGAGCACCTAGCTGGGGGGGCAATTGTTGGAGGTATTATGAGCAAAGCCCAATGAGTGGCAACTTGGGCTCCCAAACAGCCCAAGTGGGGGGCAAGGCCCAAGTAAAAAGGAGGCCACATGAAGACAAGTCACAAGAAGCCAAAGGAGGCCAGACTGTCATGTGGTCCAGTACCTGCGGGCGCCTGTCACGTGCCAGGAGTCTGACAAGGTGGTTGGGATGTCTGGCCAGAAAGAGACAAAGCATTGAATGAAGGCAGGGAGGTAGAGAGGATCAACCTCGAACTCCGGTAAGTATAAATAGGGACAGTTGGTAGCATTTACACAGGTTGGACTCTCTCTCACAAATTCTAGCTTTGAGACACTTCTCTCTTCCTAGAAACTGACTTGGGCGTCGGAGGATTAACGGGCCAAGGCGCCCCCTCCTTGTTCGTGTGTGCAGATCGGCGCCTGGCGAGAGAGGATTCAGGAGAGTCTTACGAGGGTAACGTGTCTCAAACACAATGCATGTATTGTCTACAATGCATTGTTTTTCTCAATTTTCTGCGCAAACAATACATGCATTGTTTGCTTGATGTAACACAAACTATCAGTTAAAATAAGTGTTAGTTAAATCTCAAGTTTTTTTGTGTGAGATGGTTGAGATTGTTTCATTGAGATTGTTGATTTTTTCTTTCTTCCAACTATGTCCTAACCTTTTTATATGTGTTGTTGTTTTATATTCAAAACGAAGGATAAAAGTGACATTTCACTCAAAAAGTAATGTACCTTGTTTAAATACTACAATAACTATTATAGAAACCAAACGATGTAACTACAATACACCAATTTTCTAATATACATGTATATTATTATACATTCATTGTGGGTTAATTGCATGATTGGTCACTGAGATTACAAAAAACTTTCATGTTTGGTCACTGAAAATATTTAAATCCAATCTTAGTCACTCAAATTAGTTAAATGGTTCAAGTTTGGTCACTCTCCATTTCCGTTAACTCTAGCTTACGTGGCAGTCAACTTTCATAGTTGACCGTTAAATATGTGACGTGGCAATTAAAAAATTATTAAAAATAAAAAAATAAATTTTCATATTTTTCACCTCATTATTACATTCATTAAAAAATAATTTTTTTCTACACCCCCAAAACATAATTTCTTTTCTGCAAGCGCGCCATCTCCGTCGACTCGTCGCTCCACTCCGCCTTCGACCTCAACGCCTGCTTCGATTCCGGGCCGACATTCCCTCGCTAGTGGTCTCTGGAGTTCGAGAGGCGAATCGATTCCATGCTCCGCTCTCCATCGCCTGGATCGACGGAACCTATCCATCAATCTCGCCGTCAAGAGGTAACAAAAGACGGTTTCTTTAAACCCTAGAAAAATTGAATTTTCAATCGCATTTCTTAGATGATGATTTAGAGAAACGATTGGGATTGAATTGATTTGAATTTTTTCCCCGGTGCCTTAAGCTTCAATCACTTTCGATCCAGACCTCACTGAATGTCACAAACGCATCCACTGTTACAGTCGGCGAGCCAGAGGTAATCGAGATTGGTCAAGTTGCAAAGCTCAGCGGGCAAGGGACCCGCGGAATAGGGATTGTAAGCAAGCAGGAGCTGCTTGAGGGTGGTAATGTTGCCGAACTGATGGGGGATGGTGCCGGTGAGGAGATTGTCGGCAAGTGAGATCCACTCGAGGCTGCGAAACTGGCCGAAGCGGGCGGGGATCTGGCCGGAGAAGCTGTTCCCCTGGACAGTGGCGGATTCAGAAAATTTTCATAGGGGTGTCATCTTCAAAATTTAAATTTAATTAAATAATAAATTAAATAATTAGTATATTAAAAATATCATACTTGTATAAAATTTATTAAAATTCATGATGTGTTTTCATATTTTGAAAAAATATTATAAATACGCTCCGTGTCTGCACTGTTCAAAAAAAATCTACATATCCTACTAGACAATACTTCACGAACTTATCACATATTCGATTTCTAACATTGTTCTTAATGTAGCTCAAAGTAGAAAAGACTCTTTCAACACTTGCCGTGTAACCATAAAATCAATTCAAAATTAAGGATAGCGTGTACGTAGTTTAATTATGAGGTATTGAAAATAGTTGGGGATAAAGAAATAGCGTTTTACTGTTGCATGATGTTTAAAATAGAATAACAAATGAGTAGCAACATAATTAGAATATGTTTGATAATAGTAGTATCCTAGGTTGGAATAACACGAACTACCACTTATATTTTGTTAATCATAAGCAAATTATTATCGAGGGTAGGATAATGATTTTTTCAAATGTTAGGGGGCCTTGGAGTAGGTTCTGGGAGAGGTCGAGGAAGCGGAGGGCGCGGCAGGCGGAGATGGCGGCGCCGGGGAGGGAGGAGTTGATGGAGTTGCATAAAAGAAATTATGTTTTGGGGTGCGAGAAAAAAATTAGTTTTTTTTTATTTTTTTATTTTAATGAATGTAATAATGAGGTGAAAAATATAAAAGTTTATTTTTTATTTTTAATAAATTTTTAATTGCCACGTCACATATTTAACGGTCAACTATGAAAGTTGACTGCCACGTAAGCTAGAGTTCACGGAAATGGACGGAGAGTGACCAAACTTGAACCATTTAACTAATTTGAGTGACCAAGATTGGATTTAAATATTTTCAGTGACCAAATATGAACGTTTTTTGTAATTTCAGTGACCAATTGTGCAATTAACCCCATTCATTGTTGACAATGTATCGATTTAACTATCACCAAAACCAAACAACACCTTTATTTGTGCAATTGTGCCACTTGCGAAAACAGCATCATCACCTCCGCGTAGGGGTTGCTGACGATGGTCACCCGACTAGGCATGAGGTGATCTGGTTTCAGTGTCGTGATCATCGTCATTTGCTAAAATGCACAATTATCATCTTTTTGTCCTTTGATTTTGATCTTTATCTGGGACGAGACAACACACAAGTTTATCATATCTTGTGCCACACTGCCCACTGTCACGAATCGGTATGAATTTTGAACTTTTTACCAAACCATCAAGAGCTAAATAGGTGTAAGATGAAGGGGAATTGAGCATAAGGTTTTTATCTCTTGGTTGAACTAGTGGATCATAGTCTACTAACTAAAATCTCTTGGTTTCGTAACTAGTAAGATAGAAGGATAAATTTTACAGGCCAAGACATTTGTAGATGAATTATGGAACAATACAACTCATGATTGTGGGTATCTAATCGAATTCGCATGTAATTTTATTGGGAGAAAAAGTCGATTGGTATTATTTTTGGCCAGGGTTTCGTGAATTCGAAAAGGAGGGTAATGTTTTTTTTACTATTTTAAGTATTTTCACAGGAGCCACTTGACCATTGACGATAATTATGTTCTAAATTTCCTATTTCGGAACTTCGATCATCCATATCCCCTCGAGCATTATAAATACCTCTTAGATTACAAATCTTGCTCATTCTGCTTCACTTTTATACACAATATCTCAAAAAACTTTCAAACAATATAAAAATTCTTAAGGAAATATTACATTATATGAAAAATTAGAGATACCTTATCCCGAAATAGGTAATTTTACTGTATCATATTACAGCCTGCCACCTTGATTATGAAAATGGTTACTATTTACAATCGTGATTCCACTATGGTATGCAGAACAACCACCCCCAACGTTAATCGAGTCAAAATCAATGAGATATATGTTTCATAATGAGAGCCTGATCACTCTATAATCTTATGAGATTCCCAAATTAATAATCAAACAAATAATTTAAAATTCATAGTCTGGTTCTTCTTGTTAAATATTTTGCTACAATATTAAAGCGAATTACATTCCGAACAAACTATTTTTTTAAAATCTCAAATTATTTAAAGAACGAAATAACATTCTAGTAAATAATACCATCGCTCACTTTCGATAATCAGAGATCATACCTCCATTCAAGCCTCTTTAACCAAATCCTATGGTCAAGGCCACCAATTCCCTTCTCCAACTTAATCATAAAAACGAAAGAAGGATGTAAATGTTAATGAAGGTTTATTTCAGTACTAATTAGCACTAAACCAGTAAATTCCACTTAAACCCTCAGCGTTTACGTTCTGTCCTATAAGTAGCAAGCTCTCACAAGTCACAACTCAATCGTTCTCACTTCTCCCGTACGCTACTCACCAATTCCTCCGCTCCTCCTACGCGCTTCTGCTCTCCGCCTCCGGCCTCCGGCAGCCTCCTTCCTTCCCTTATTTTTCACGGTACGGCTGGGCGAAACGCCTCAACTCTCTCCCCGTTCTTTGGCTTTGCTTCTTCTGAGCTTTCGAGCTGTGTCTTGGTGTGTTGTTTCCGCGCGCGCGATTTTGATCTAGGGTTTCGTGGGGATACCCTGCTCAAATTGCTGCATATTGATGCTGCGATGAAACAAATGGTTGGTTTCGCTGGGCGTTGACTTGACGCCGGTGGTTATTGAATAATCGGAGGCCGTGTTGTTTGTCTCTTGTTTTTCTGCTTTCATTTTTTTTCTGTTTTGATGGTATTGCGATTGAAATGTATCTTCGGTGTGTCTGTTTATCACAATCTCATTCCTTTTCGCTCGAATTGTTAGGTGTCCCATGTATTCTGAGTCTCGCACTTTTCTGGGGGAAAATTGGTTCATGAATCGTGGGAGGCTGTGGTGGTCTTGGAAGTTCTTCTTCAGACATTGGACTTGACATCTGGGATTTCTCAGTAGTTTGTAATTAGAGGGAAGGTGGGAAATAGAGGATAGTTATTTGTGAAGAAGATATAGCCATTTGAAAGAGAAAAAAATAGAAAAAACAAGAAAGAGTAGTAGTAGTAGTAGTATAACATAAACAGCTGTAGAGGATCTTGGTACATTGTCCGCAACCCTTTAGCCTGTCATGGTGGGAAACACAAGGCTACCCCCGGGTTTTCGTTTTCACCCGACTGATGTCGAGCTGGTTAGGTTTTATCTGAAGAGGAAAGTGATGGGGAAGAAGCTCCCTTTTCATTGCATTGAGGAGCTCGACCTCTACAAGTTCCCTCCTTGGGATCTCCCACAGAAGTCGGTGTTGAGAACTGGAGATCTGAAGTGGTACTTCTTTTGCCCTAGAGAGAAGAAGTATGCAAGTGGAACAAGGATGAATCGTACTACCGAATTCGGGTACTGGAAGACCACAGGGAAAGATAGAACAGTTCTTTATGATAATGAGGTGTCGGGAATGATCAAGACTCTGGTTTTCCACCTTGGTAAGGCACCGAAGGGTGAGCGGACTGATTGGGTTATGTATGAGTATAGATTGGAGGACAAGAAGTTGACTGATAGTGGCATTGCTCAGGACTCTTATGTCCTTTCTGTTATCTTTAAGAAGGATGGGCCAGGACCTAAAAATGGTGCTCAATATGGGGCGCCATTCAAGGAGGAAGACTGGGAGTTGGAGGATGATGATGAAGAAGAAGTAAATGATATAGGAGCTGCTTTATGGGCTGGTGGGTCTACTACTCCATCTAAGGGATTATCTGTTGATCCAATTACTTTAGTTCCTGAAGTTACTTGTGTTGTGTCGGCACAATCATGTCTATCGGCGGAGAAAGCAAATGCATATGATGTACCTGTTACTCCTGATACTGTCAATGCTACTACTGAAGGCGTGTCTCAGGCACCTGCTTCTGAAGACGTTCCCGAAGCTCTGCATGTTGTTCCCAAAGAACCTTTGGATTCTGCACTAATCAGTTCCATTGGGTTGCCTGAAGCTGGAAATGGGGAGTATGCTGATGATTTGCTGGCCATGTTGGCTAACTTCTCTGAAGAAGCTCCGTTTACACTAGATGATTTCCAAAATACTGAGGTATGTTGCTATAGTATGCTGTCTAAATAGTATCTAATTGCTTAGTTCTGCTAGCATGGTATTAGCTTTTTGCTTACCATTATTTGTTCCAGTGTATGTTTTGCATTCCCCATCTATAGTGATAGAAAGAAGCTCTCTTATATGTTTCTCCACCTGTGCCTGTTTTAGTTTTGATTGATTGAACATCATGAACTTGCAGTTGTTTGAGCTAGGATTAGTGAAGTGGGTTGCTTGGGTTAACCAAACCGGGAAACCTTTCAGAACTAATAAATATTGTGATGAACCGCCAAATCTCTGGACGCAATTCTCTACCCCTAAATCCTAATGGTTTATTGGAACAAAAATGTGCCTAGCTCAATGACCAGTCTGGACCAGGGTTTTCTTGGGTAATTTTGTTGAAAATTAATTCCTTTATACATACTTTTAATGTTCTTTTACACAGTTTCTGTTATTTCCAAACCAACAGCCGTTAACTTGTAGTTGACCTGAACCATTTATCACATTTGAGGTTAGGTATCTGGTTTATCAGCAAAACCAGAACTGGTTAGCCCACCTCGAAACTATTGTCTTGTCAATTTTTCCACCAGTGTCTCTAGTCATTGTTAAGTCCTCAGTTTTGGTTGATGGTTCATTTCTCATTTGACAGTTCTTGTTTAGATATATCCAAGGACTAACATGAATCTAATAACTTGTTCCGCAGGTGATTAATAATCCCGATCAAGTCGGTTTGATTAGTGATCCTGATCAAGCTATTGCTCTGCCACCCTGTCCAGCTCTGGATGGCAATGGAATCTACAGTAATATGGGAGATCTCGGTAACTTTGCCACATACAGCGAACCTCAGGGCCTGCTCAATGGCTATGTTGCTGAACACGAAGACGCAGATTTCATGTTCGCTGGTGGGGGAGACGACAATTTCTTGGAGTTGATGGATCTGGACACCCCGTTGAGCAGCTTCCAACAACAACAACAGCAACAACACAATCAATACGGAGATTCCCAATGTTCGCAGCAGAACAACAACAACAACAGCTACTACAATAACAACAATGTCTGCGATGATCTGCTGGAGTTCGTCAATAGCTGTTGGAAACATTCCGGCGGCGGCCGCAGATGATGGGAGTTCGTAGTGATTGTAAATGAGAAATCGCCCTTCGAGCTGAAGGGGACGATTGATTGTCTTTTATTTATTTGCATCTGGACTTTCGTTTCTGCAATTGAGCCCACATACACACTGCTACATATGGTTTTGACAGTTAACTTGATTTTTATTCTCATTTTATTGCAGTCGTTTATTTCAATATTTTTCTTTCATCCTTCGTTGTAATTCTTTCTTTGCCCTTCGTAGTTTTTTTGTTCTTGTTCATGAAGCCTCCCAGAAAAATCCAGAGACCGTTAAGTCAAGTCAACGGGGAGTACCCGAAAGACCGTTAACTTCCCGCCTTTTCCACGTGCCATCATCTTGTGGAAAGAAAGGGAGAAAAAAAGCTGAATTCTTATTTGTCGCCCTAAGTTTTTGAATTTATAGCCCTAAACTTATATATATTGACGAATTTACCCTCATTTAACCTAAACCCTAAATTGACCCACCTTTTCCTTACCCTATTTTCGCCTAAGACTCACCCTGCCGCCACCCTCACCCCTCACTCAGTTTTCCGGCGCCATCCAGAAGGAGAGGAAGTCGCCGCCATCCTCACCCCTCGCCCAGAGCTCCGACGCCATCCAGAAGGAGAGGAAGTCGCCGCCACCCTCACCCAGACTCGCCTCCACCACCAAGACCCGTCGCCGCCACCGAGACCCGTCGCCGCCAGCATCTTCGCCCAAGCCCAGATCCGCCGCACTGTCGCCGAGGAGGAAGGAGAAGCCTACAAATCATCGTCCGCCTCTAGCCCTCTGCTTCTGCTCAGACCCGCCAGAGGTAAATCTCTCTCTCCCTCTCTTCTCGTTTGGTTGAGTTGCGCCGACGTCGCGGGTTGAAAACCCGTCGCCAGTGGCTAGAGGCAGGTAGGGCGATCGATTTGGCCGGTGGTAGACGCAGGCAGGGCGCCCACGCGAATCCGGCGGAGCCAGGTAGCCCACCTGCCCCGACCCTGGTCCGATCCGGTCTCCGACCCGCCCTGACCCTGGTTCGACCCATTTTCCGACCCGTCCTGACCCTGGTCCGACCCGTTTTCCGACCCGCCCGAACCCTGGTCCGACCCGTTTTCCGACCCGCCCGACCCGTTTTGATTTTTTTTCAATTAAAATGCAAATGTTAATGATTAGAATGTTCATTTTAATTAATAATATATAAATTTGAATGGTAAATTATAATCAATATATGACATTTTATAATGGGAAGGAAGAAAAGAATCTGTTTGTTGCGGTTGCTGTGTGATGAGAGGATGTTAATTAGCATTTGACAATATAAGTAGTGTTTGAATTGAAAAAGTTGTTGATTGTTAATAATGATTATAAATAGTTAATGAATATAGGATTGTTAATTGCAATACTAAGAAGAATTAATTTTATTTCTTGATAGTTGGTAAAATAAGCGAAAGAAAGGGTAAGAATTAGTACGAGGGTTTGTGATGATTAATATAATTAGTATTTGACAATATAATTTGTATTGGAATTCATAAATTTTATGGTTGTAAATAATTATTATGTATAGTTAAAAGATGTATGGTTGTCAATTACAATTCTGAAAATAAATAATTTTATTTTCTTGATAGCAGGCAACAATGAGCGAAAGAAAGGGCAAGGAAAAATTGAGGGTTCTCGGACGCAACGTTACAGTATCTGAGCGGAAAAAACGTCAAGAGGAGTCAGATAGACTTCGTGAGGAGGAGCGTCAGGAGAAGCTTTCGCGTCGTCAAGCTGCAGTGGATCCTCCCCCTCATAGCTATGTTTCCCAGCCGATACCAGGCATCACATTTGGCTGTTGGATATTTTATGTTTTGATGTTGGATATTTCTTAAGATTGATGTTGAATATTTCTTAAGGTACATTTGGATGTGTTATGTTTGAGTGTTTATATACTAATTAAAATTTTTAACCACTACTTATATATCTAACAAAAACACAACAAACAACAATTTTTAATGATCACACAAAATTACTTGCACCATCGGGCGGGTAGGGAATATGGCTCAACCAGCGGTTAGAAGGGTAGAAAATATGGCTCGACCTCCGAGAGGGCGGGTAGGATATATGCCCTCACCTCTAGGAAGGCGGGTTCACAACATGCTTTGTCCACGGCCTGTGCTGGAAGGGTATATTCCTGCACCATCCGTCAGGTGGGTGTGCAACATGCTCAACCCACGGTGAAGATGGGTAGGTGAAATGTTTGGTCCGTGGTGCAGGCAGGTTTTCAACCCGCATAGTCTATTTTTTCAGCAACAATAATTGTGAACACAATTGATTAATTTCAACTAAATCCACATAAATTTGAACACAAAATCATTGATTAATTCCACCTAAAACCACATACATTTTAACACAAAATGTCAATCTTTGATAATTGCACCTAAATCCACACAACTTTAAACATAAACACACACTAGACACATCAATAACATAATCAATCTAAGGCAACAATGTTTAATCATTCTCTTCATCGTCAGTGGGTGGATAATGTCCTCCAAGGATGGCATACAATTCCTGCTCCTGTTGGTATAACTCATCTCAATGCGGAATTGTGCTCATATTCCAAAAATGAGTCCATTGTGGACTAAAATATGGCATTGGTGTCACCCCATCGACATTGTCGAGAACTAGTCGGACCCAATGAGCCCCAGTAAATCAAATCGAACCCAATGTTGAAGTTCTTCTTGACCAGACTAACACCAATCAACTGAACCAGTGGCTGCTTATACTTGTTAGTCTTGTACGTCGAGTCTATCAAAACAACAAAATACCATGCCAACAACATCCAAATCGACTCAGGATGGCATAGGAAGAGTCTAGTAACACGACGTTGATCATCAAATTCACACTCAATAAAGTAGCCAAGACGTTGAGCTTCTATCAATGTCCACCGCATAGGTTTCAACCCACCCAATCTCTCACGCCTAATTTTTGCTGTCTCATTATAAATCTGAGTCATGTTGTGATGAGCATCGTACTTCATATTGAGCAAACTTCTGATATCTTTCGCCTGAGTATGTGTTGCCTCCAACTCCTTAATATTCATTTTTTCCACCTGCGAAAGAGCATTCTTTTGCCTGCTTCCCTCAGAGTAAACCTCCAATCTGTGACTGTGAAATCCCCTCGCCTTAATCCCATGAATTCTCCACTTACAATTGCCATCTATTTTTACGGATTGCACCACCACTCGGAAATGACAATCTAACTTGCATGTTGTAGATTTGCTCCGTGTTGTCTTTGCGGGATCAGACGTATATGAGTTGCTCCTACTACCATGGTTGCAATCCATATAGATCCGCGGATTGCCTTCTCCAACGTTTCTCTTGACTGATGCCACTATCAAGGAAAAACTATTACTCATGGCAATCTCCTTTGCCGCTTTACAAGTTTGATCATGGGCATCATAAACATCACTTAGAAACAATGATGTGCAATCAACATTGTCACCCTCATTAACTCTGGATCCACCCTACAAGAAATACAAGGTAAAAACATTTACTTGTGCAACAATTATGTTACGATAATTAAATTATAAAAAATAACTACTTACCGAATCATCCATAATAGTTTCCTTGTTAGTAAATGATGGTGGCACAAGATTTTTATCCTCCTTCCTAATAAACACAATTAACAACGAAACTTAATGAACATAAATATTATAATTTATGTGAATTTTCATTAAAAAAGGTCCATGACATCACAAAATTAACTCGAGCATGTTCAAAACTAGACTAGACCAAGGGACGGGCATGTTAAAAACAAGAATGAACCATGGGTCGAGCATGTTGAAAACATGCCGAGACAGGAGGACGAGCATGTTGCGAGCATTCCTGGAGGATGGAACGGGCAGGTTGACAATGCGTTCGTTCCATGGTTGACGCAGGGTTTCAACATGCTTGATCACTGGTCGAGGCAGATTTTCAACATGCTCGACTTGTTTTCCAGAAGAAAAAAAATTGCAAACGAAATCTTACCTTTAGTCCGAGTCCCTGCATGTTATGACGATCGAGACCGACTACTTCTCTACCTCCGGCAAACTCGCCAGAATCCGGCGAAAATTTATCAATGTAGAAGATTGTAGTTGGATTTTGTGTTGTGTGGTTTGGTTTTAATTTTTGGTTTGATATTTCTGTTTTGTGTTGGAAGAAAGAGTTAAATGGGTTGGGTTAGATGGTTGGAGCATTAATTCTAGGTGGTTGAACCATAAAATTAAATGAAGGGTTGTTTTGTAAAGTTGTATAGTTTAGGGGGACGAAATTTAAAAATTTAGGGCGACGAATAGTAACTCTCAAATAGCCAAAGAACTGAAGTCTTCTCCCGCCATTTCAACATCAAGTCAACGCTCCGTAATCCTTTTTTTTTTAACTCCGCCGGAGCCCGCTCGAAATTCGAAATCATCACCCGAATCCCCCTGACGCCGGTAGCTTTCGGCGAGCACAAAAAGAAATGCAACGAGTTCCGTCTCCAAAGGACGCGGCGGCAGCCGCTGGCCTCACCTTGAATTGGCCAGCATCTATCTCGCCGGAGGCTGCCGCCGTCCTGAACCATGCCGTCGGAGAGGCGCGACGGCGGAACCACAGAGAAACCACCCCGCTACACGTGGCCGCCGCCGTGCTGGCTCATCCTTCCTTTTCTGCCCTCCTCCTGAACCGAGGTCTCATTAGTTCGCCAAACGCCTTGCATGAGAACTATGCTTCGCCGTTTGGAGACGCCTGGAACTATGCTTCGCCGTAGCTCTCGACCAACTTTACGGTACGGTTCGGATGTCCTCTACAGGAACGCTTCGTCCCCGAGATTTCCAAATCGTTGACGGCGGCGTTAGGTCGAGCTCAACCAAAGCCGTCGGAAGCTGCGGAGATCAAGCTCGAGGAGCTGATTTGTTCAATTTTGGGCGATCAGATGGTGGTTAGGGTTTTGACCGAAGCTGGGTTTAGTTCTGCAGCTGCTAAGGTGAGGATCAAGCTGTTACGAGCTCCGAAATCAACCCGCAATGGTCTAACTAGTGCCGCCGTGGATCCAAACAATCAAAGGTTAGTGCACCAATTCGGTCTGACAGCTCTTGCAATAGTTCTAGTGCACCAATCATCTTAATAGTTTCCAGTTAATTGAAGTGTATGGTGTCGCTGTTCCATGTATATGTGAGTGAAAGACCTATTACATTCCCTGATGGTGATGTTTTGTAAATTTTTAATCCTAGATTGCAACTCGAGACAGAGAAGGAAGTGAACCGTGCTGTGAACGTCTTGTTGAGAGGCACAAAGAGGAATCCCATTTTGGTTGGTGAATCCGGACCATCCAAAGTTGCGAGGGAGCTTTTGAGGAGACTAGAAGATGAAGAGATTGAATATGAGATGTTGAAGAATGTTCAAGTGATTCACTTGGAAAAGGAGTTCCCACTTGAAGTAGCAACCTGTTCCAAGATTATGTATTTGTGTCGTATCATCCCGTCGTCGGAAAGAAACTTGCCCCCTGGTGGCGTGATAATCCATTTGGGCGATTTGAAATGGCTGCTCAAGGCACCACTGGAGTTTGCAGAGGATTGCACTGAACAGATGGCTGTTGCAATGCAAAGGGCAATGCAAAAGGCAATGCAAAAGGTCAGGACACTTCTGAAGAAGATTCGAGAAGGAGCGGGTGGTGGGAGGATTTGGTTAATTGGCACGGCTAGTTGTGAGACATATATGAGATGTCAGGGTCGTCATCCTGATGTAGAAGACTGCTGGGATCTGCATCCATTGCTGAATGCTGCTGACTCTACTCTTTCAGGGATGGCTTCAATGTGTGTCTCCTATCGCTATTCTTTCTGTTGTTTCATTTTTTTAATCTATGGTATGAGTGTCATGACAGTATCAAAATATTGTTATTTGTGCATCAATACCAGATTGCGGCAGGACAATGTGGCAAAACAAAGACAGCATGATGATGTAATTAAGCCGGTTGATGATATCTCAAGAGCCGAGAAAACTCCTTTCCTGGGCAGCCGATCAGAATCTGTGATGGGAAAAGATGAGCTCTGGGGAAGATTAGAGGGTCGAGAACTCCGAGATGGGATGTTGGACCTGAAAGGTGGAGTTGACACCAGAATCGGAAATGTGGATTCTGGTGGAAAGGTTTCGATGGTTGGTCCAACTACCCAGGAGACGAATTCAAGAAGCAACATTCTTGATCATACAATGGCAAATCACTGGAATCTGCAGCCAGTGCCAATAACTGTTGGAGCCCCTCTTTCAGTAATGCTTCCAAGGTATTACTATATCCTGTCTTCTGCTAATCTTGCGTTTTCATTTAAACTTCCTTCGTGCCATCTAGCATTGCTAGTCCTGATTGTTATATTAGTAAGTATGGTTCTGTTTCCACAGTTTGATATAGGATTTGCTTGAGCTAATTCTTTTCTAGTCCTCTGGCTTCTCCAACGACAATGTTTGGGAAGTCAGAATTTTCTTCCAATCTGGTTTTCATCAGTTTTATTATGAATCTTAAAATTTTGCAGTTCAACTAATTAACCAATCATGTGTCTGGTAATGATCATAGTAATACTGGCAGGAGGAGGTTTGAAACGGGCAACCATGATCAAGTAACGTGTGTCCCGGAACAAATGAGCTCAATGACAAGCTTAATGCAATCCGCCATCTTGAATATCATTTCTCGTGATGATCTGGGACAGCTTTATCGCCCTCAGCTCCCACCGAAGACTTTGTCATCTAATTCATATCGCGCCCAGTTGGTTGTTCACCTTATCTTGCCCAACTTCACCAACAACAGTTCTGTCAAACAATTTCAGAGTGGGAGTTTTTTCAAGGTAACATTTCTTTTTTCCTTCATAACCTTGCATTGTCAGTGAGAACCCAACTGACCAACTTTATCTACTCTGGTTTGATGTGTATATGCTGCAGTATCTTGTTAACTTGAAGCTGATGGATCTCAGTGACTCCAGTTTGACTAGGTTCCCTGAAACTTCAGCGGCGCAGAAACTCGAGATATTGAATCTCTCTGGCTGTGTGCACCTGCTAGATGTGTTGTCGATTCACAGGCTTTCTAAGCTTCAGCAGGTGAAGTTAAGAGGTTGCATCAGTGTCAGGAGACTGCCAAGTTTGTGCAACTTGAGGTTGCTCAAAACCCTCGATCTCTCAAACTGTTCGAGGCTCAACAAGCTGCCTCCTTCTATGGGTCATCTCGCTGGTCTCATCTCCTTGGATCTTACCAACTGTAGGCAGCTCGAGCGGCTTCCAGGAAGCATTTTTAAGTTGAAGTTGCTGGAAACTTTTAGCATTGCTGGGTGTTCAGGCCTCATGAAACGGCTCACCATCGGAGAGAAGCAGGCGATTCCTAGTGGGAGTAGTACTCTCTTCAGCAAAACCTGTAAGTTTGAGAAACCCTCTCCACTCTATATGTTGTATTATAGAATTGCATTCATGCATCGAAACAGGACTTCCGCTTTCTGGATGGCGGGAAAAAATTCTGCTTAATTTGAGTTTGGTAATGTTTTGGGGTTGAATGCCCCCAATGGTTGCTGAATGATGGGCTTGGTGCATTAAAATTGTCTTAGCTAAGTTGTATCAGCATGTCAAATTGGTTTGTCATGTTATCAGAATCGTCTAATCAGTAGTATCCTATGCACCCACTCAATCCAACCTGTTTGTGTTAGTAAAAGGTATATGATCCACGATTGAACCTCTCCCAACAACTCGAGTTGTTCGGATCAACTGGTTCTTGACATGGTATCAAAGCCTTCTGTGATCGAGAGGTCTTCTGTTCGAATCCCGATGACCCCCCATCTGTTTCTATTTCTGTTAAGCATATGGTGTCCGGACTTTGAGGGGGTGTGTTAGTAAACGGTAGAGCTTGAGTTTTGAATTCTTGTATGGGTTTAACTTGACTTTATCTTTGTCAAAGGTGGCACAGAAGCCAAGATCATTTCACACCAAACCAGTCAAATCGAGATGAAACTCATCCCTCCACAACCCGAAGCAATGGAGTGGGATGTAACTAGAAGCCACACAACTCCACAAAAGCCAGCCTGAATCTGTCACAAAGGTTCCTACATTCATTCACAGCAAAACAAAGAAACAGCTCGGAGTGGCTAAGCCGAAGCATATCAGAACCTCTTTCAAGGTAAAGGAAAAAAAAAGGACTCAACTGCAAGTGCTGCAAGCTTTTTAGCACCTAAGGAATCTGTCACACAACTTCGTTCCCCGTTTCTTCCTCAGCCTCAGCAGGGGCGAGTACAAGTCTTCTCCACGTCGCCCCAGGACTTCAGGGAGGCAGTAGAAGCTCTTGCAGCAGGTGGATGTCCATCTTTCTTGTCTACTCTAGCTGGGAAAAAGAAGGATGCTTTAAGAGACTACTTAACCATGTCATTGGAACACATTCACTTCCTGCCGAATGGGTTCCTGAGCATCGAGACCGTTGTCCATTCCCTGTTGGGTAAACACGCAGCCAGTTTGCCTCTGGACGAGCAGATTGCGCTGCAAGCTATCAAGCATTCCTTGGCCGAGTTGAGCCGAAGCTTTCCAGGTATAGTGAAGAGCATGGAGAATGCAGAAGCTGAGAAGGCGGTGCTCGTGGTGAAATCGATGGAGGTCGAAGTGAGGTTGGCTTTTGGAGAACAAGAGCTGGCTTCCGTTGAAGCTGAGTTCTCCAAGGTTTTGGAGGAAGAGGAGATTTTGGATGCGGAAATCCATTCCTTGATTGCCAAGAAATTGGAAATGATTGGTGCACGTGTTGGCTTCGAATAATTAAACGTATAGGATAGATGGAACCAGCCATGTTTAAATAAGATATACTAGCTGAACTCATATACACATGAGTGGCTGGTGAAACTGAACTTAATGTTCACATATATGCATATGCTTATTTTCGGCATTGATTCGAAAAAACTTGTTCTGCAATTCGATATTAATGAAAATCCAACAAATTCGTACATTCATCATAGTTGGTAATCCGACTCCCATCACATGCACAACAAGTGCGGTTAGAAACCGAATAAGAAAATTAAGATTACCGATCTAACTGAGGCACAGACTGAATTGGAGAAGTTCGGTAGTTTTTCGTTGTAAGTAGTAGAAACAATCTACAACCACTCATTTGGCGATAGTACAAGCCATCCTCATCCAGACTAGCAAGCATTCAATAAGTGAACAGATTAAAACACAAGCTATAGTATATGCAAAGTACTATTATTATTACTTGGAAACAAATCTCAACCATTCAACATCCGAATCCAGCCAAGGGAAAACAATGACAATTTCGGAAAATACGAATTCAAAAACAACAATAACAAGAAGGCCTGACATCCAAATATATATATATAGAGATTACAAAAGACCCTTCATTTTTTTTTGCGGGTGGCGTGGTGGTGGTACGTAGGAATTGGAGGTCAGTTTTAGTTGTATCCTTCGGGCTTGTAGGCGATGAAGGAGATGCACTGCACCTGACGCTTGTTGTCGAACCCGATGATGCGGACGAACGCCTGTGGGTACTCCTTGACGCACTCCTGGAGCTCCTTGAGCACCTGCGACGAGTCGGTGCACCCGAACATGGGCAGCTTCCACATCACCCAATACCTGCCGTCGTAGTACCCCGGGGACCTGTTGTTCTCACGGTACACGAAACCGTGCTGCACATATCATACACATCGACGTCACACCAACAAACAAAGTTTTTCAGTACCTCGTAGTCGTAGTACGACATAATACTACTCGTATTTCGAAAACAGACTCCGAAAGAACGTAACGTAACGAACCTCCAACTCGAACTCCAAGCAAGGAACCCATCCGGACCGGAGCAGGTAGTCGACCTCCTTGCCCAATTGCTCCTCAGTCAATGGAGGAAGGTAGGAGAGGGTCTCGTACTTCTTCAAACCCAATGGTGGCCACACCTATTTATACCATTACCCACCCACCACAACATCTGATTAAACTGATTGTTAAGTACAATTGAAAACAAAGAGAGTGGAAGATGGAGAAAAAAAAAGGGGGGGAAACCTTCATGCACTGGACTCTGCCACCGTTGCTTGTGATGGAAGTAATGTCGTTGGTGGACTTCCTGGTGACGGGGAAGGCGGCGGCGGACTTGAGGCCGGTGAAAGGGGCGACCATGCTGGCCTGAGCGCCGGTGCGGCTCACGGTGGCGACGGCTGAGGACGAAATCATGGACGCCATTTTCTCTCTCTCTCAATTCGCCTTTAGTTTAAAGCTGCTTGCTTTTTTTTTCTTCTTTCTCTGCCTCACACCCAAAACAGAGCTGCCCTTCTTATAGTGGCTGTGACCCGAATTCCCTTTTGATGCCATCCGACGGTGGATGATTCGTGGAGGAGTCGATCTAAACCGTCGGTTTGGATTGGGTTGATGACATTGTTAATTAGTCCCATTTCTGGCCACAGGATGATGGAGTGAAAGATTTTGGGTTTTTTTTTCCTGTGTTTCGTTTCCGAGCCATAGCCTTATCGTTGAGTTTTGAGATCCACCACAATGGCGGTGCCACGTGGCGGGGTGAGCCCCATTATCTTATCTATCTATCTATAGAGGAGAGGGGTGGGTGGGTGAAAGTGAAAGAGAAAAGAGGACAAAGGCTTCACAGCCAGGCCCAGAATGTGTGGATCGCTTTTTGCTGAAATGGGTTTTCTCCCTTTCGTCGGCTTGCTTTTGCATGGTTAGAGTGCCCAATTTGATCCAAGGTGGTCGAGATATTAGGGCTTATAACAAAAACAACTCTCAATTTATAAGGGTTAACTCGATCTGTGCTCACTGTTGGTCATATCCAAACACACAATAAGTGAAAGCAATTACTGTTACCTATTGCAAGATTCCATGGCATGTCATTCTGGAGTGTCGAGCCAAAGTGTTTTAACCACTTCGCCCCCTCGAAACGAAAGCCGACTCATGGGCTTGAAGTTTGTACAGGCTCGTCATATCATGTGCTTGAAAGATAACGGTTAATATCAGCGGCGGATCCAGGATATAAGAGAGCACTGGGCCGTATTTGAATAAATATTAAATACCATAAACAAAAATATATAATAATATAGTTTTCATTACAACGCCAATGGTACAAATAGGCCTTTTAATTTAGCAAATTCATCAATAATATAATCTCCATCCATACTGATAATATACTCTTTTTCAAATAAAATAGCTAAGTAATCAACGAGAAATTCATCGTTCATTTTGTTGCACAAATCAATGTTCATGTTCCATTGCTGAAAATATTCTCTTCATGGTAGTTGTTGAAATGGCTAGGTCAACACTAGACAAATCAACCGACAAATCAATTTGTATTATGTGTCCATCCCTGTTTCCTCCAGCTTCTCTAATAATTTTGCAAGAGAAGAAACTTCATCTTTCTCACATGAGTAGTGCATTCTCCAAAGAATGCATCTCATAGCCTTCAAAGTCTCGAGGCTAAACTCTTGAGCAAGTTTGTAAATATTTTCTTCATCAAAACACCAGAAAGAACGGTTAGAATCTAGTGCCTCACTTGATTGAGACAATCTAAAAGATGACTCAGCAAGTTTGTAAATATTTTCTTAATCAAAAGAATGGAAAGAAAACCAGCTCGACGGGCTAGCAGAGAAATCCATTTTGGGTCTGCTCGTCTCCTCGTTCTTATTTTGTTTTGGGGGGATTGGGAATTTTTTTGAATTTTGCAAGGAAGGGTGTGCTTTAGTTTAGAGTTTTTATTTTTATTTTAATGAAACTTTACACTTTTAGGTTTTCATGTCATTTTTTAAATAAAATCATTGGGGCTATAGAAAATTTAGTATAAATTTAGAGTAATGGTTTGGATATGTTCATTTGAACCATTTTCCTAGTTACACAAAATCCTATTATCAAATAAAACTAGACAGAATTTTAAATAGCACTGGGGCAAATACCTAAATCGAAAAATTTTATAAGCACTAAACTAACTTTGGATCCGGAGGAGGGCTGGGCCGGGGCCTAGTTTGGCCCAGCCCTGGATCCGCCACTGGTTAATATTAGGGGTCGTGAGGACTTGAACACGTGACCTAAAGGACAAACCAGACTCTAATATCATGTCATAAATCAGCTGGTCTCAATAACTCGAGTTGTTGGAAGAAGGTTATGCTGGATCTTAAATATATATATATATATATGGTGGTGTCTTCGGTGCACTCACTTTTTCGGGTGCATTCAGTGCACCCGCCTCATAATCACCATTTTGAGTAGGCGATTCATGTCAAAACGATGTCAATCATTACTTGTGATATGATAGACATGAAACCCCATGAATTTACAAAAAAAATCCATTAAGTATTTACTTTGATTTGAAGGATTTAGTATTTAAGAAATTAGGGTTAGGGTTAGGGCTCACATTTTTGGGATTTTGTGTTGGTGTTCAAAATTGAAGGTTTAGGGGTTAAGATAACGGATTTATTAGTTGAGATTATTTGTTATATCATCATATTAGACTAATGCTACCAGTTAAAATTCAAAAATTTTATGTCTATGGCTACTTTTAAAGTTGGGTGTATTGAATACACCCAAAAGAGCGAGTACACCAAAGTAGCCACCATATATATTTTTTCAAATATTTGATCCAAACATTTAAAATATCAGTTTCTTAAGAATATGCACCTCAAGCTGAGCCATACTTCATCTTGATTACTGGATACTTATATGTCATACACCCGCTGCAAAGCGTGGACCATTTATATAGTTATTTCTTATGCTAAATGAATAATTTTCTCATATCATATGGTTGTCTAACCCCAGAATATTATAAGAACTAGTTTTATGGCACGTGTTATGTCGTAGTAGGAAATTAATGATTTATTTGAAATCATATAATTCAAAAAATTATTTAGATACGATACCTACATAAATTTCATGGAGTGTATTAGTAATTTACGAATAGCATATATCATCAGTTTATTTAAGTGTTGCATAATAAATAACTATATATCACTTCATAATGTTTACGTAGTATGTGTTAATCATTAATAAACACTTACATAATTTTTTTTAATTGATACATACAAAATGATAATAAATAACTATATATCACTCATGTATATCTTTGCTTGCATGATTAATAGCTATCCCTTTATAAAATTTACTTTATCTAGTGTCTATAAATTTTACAAATGAATTTGTAATTTATGTAATTGTTATAGAATGTTGTTTATATAACTGTTATAGAAAGTTACGTTGTTGCATAAATCTTTCATAATATGTGCTCTAATAATAAAAGGGTTAATTCCAAGGTTAGTCACTGAGATTATTAAAAACGTTCACATTTGGTCACTAGAAATATTTAATTCCACTCGTCGTCACTAAAATTAGTTAAACAGTTCAAGTTTGGTCACTCTCCGTTAACATCCGTTAGTCTCCACTAACGGTGTCAGTTTTTGCTGACGTGTCTAACAGAAATGTACAATCACCCAATTTTAACTAGAAAAACTTAAAACCCAACCAGCCACATCATTAAACTTGTCACGCCATTAAACCCAACCGATGACCTGATCCATGACCCGACCTAACTATAAAAAATATATTCGTAAGCATGTTTTGAGACACAACACCAATAAAAAGGTGATTGATTCTAATTAAACCTCAACTCTACTCAAATTAATTAAATCTACTGATCCAATTACCATACTCTCTATATGTACACCTGTCAAAAGCTCTAACCTAACCTCTAACTAGATGACCAATTTTATACGAAAAAGTAAATTTTGATTTCTCGCATTCCCTAAAAATCCCATTACTTCTCTCAATCCGAATACACCAAGCCAAACTCATGCGTAGCGAGACAAAAATAAGGGGGCTTCGACCTAACAATTTTATTCTTGTGCAAAGAAGTTGTCGAATAGAGAGGTCGGATGGTCTTCGAGGGGAGGTCGTAAATGCCCATGTCATGGCCTGATTCATGCTTGCGCGTGACGGATGATGATGATACTCCTCCAGATCATCGGTAAAATAAATGAAATTGGGTATCAACCCAGGACAGTCTTTGGCGGAGAGCCGGAGACGAAGGTGCCGGGAGTGTTGGAACCCAAAAACAAAGCGAAATCGCCGATGCGGAAAAATCAAAACGTGTTATACGGGTTTAGTACATGAACATCAAAATAACGGGGGATTGTTTCGCTCGTGCTAAATTCTCATTAATTTCTTAGTCACTCCGGTTCTT